GTTTCACCTCTTTACATAATCCCATATTTCTTGTAGGCTTTATTCTTTCCTCTTAATTCTCTGTTCTTTATCCTTGACTGACTTGTTTAATTCGAAGGCATTGTCTTCAAGCTCTGAGATTTTTTTCTTATGCCTTGTCTAGTCTATTCTTATGACTTTCCACTGTTTTTCATTTCATTGAAGGATTTTTTCCTTTCCAGAAGTTCTGTTTGCTTTTTTTTAATAATTTGATTTCTTTAGTGAAATTTTCATTTATTTCCTAATTTTTTTGGTAGTTTCTTTTTCTTGGTTTTCCGTTTTCTCTTGTATTTCATTGACTTTACTTATAATCCATGTTTTCAATTCGTTTTTTTTTGAAACAGAGTCTCACTTTGTTGCCCAGGCTAGAGTGACTGCCATAGCGTCAGCCTAGCTTACAGCAACCTCAAACTCCTGGGCTCAAGCAATCCTCCTGCCTCAGCCTCCCGAGTAGCCGGGACTACATGCATGCACCACCATGCCCGGCTAATTTTTTCTATATATATTAGTTGGCCAATTAATTTCTTTCTATTTATAGTAGAGACGGGGTCTCGCTCTTGCTCAGGCTGGTTTCGAATTCCTGACCTTGAACAATCCGCCTGCCTTGGCCTCCCAGAGAGCTAAGATTACAGATGTGAGCCACCTTGACAGGCCCATATTTTCAATTCTTTATCTGTCATTTCAATATTCTGATTTTGGTTGATTTCCATTGCTAGAGAGCTAGTGTTCCCTTTGGGGGGTGACCTTTTGCTCTGATTCTCTATACTTCTGGGGTTCTTTTGCTGATTCCTTGTCATCTGGAGTAGGTGTTGCTTCCTATTTGTGTATTTTCTTTTGTTTAGATGGGTCTTTTTCCTCTTACCTCACTCATATGGGTATGTTTGTAGCATATGTTGTGTAAGAACCTTTGACTTTGCTTGTGGTTGCTTTGGTGGCAATCTAGGTTCTAGATGGATCTTTGGTTATATGTATCCTTAATGTAGTAGTTTTCTGAGTTGCTAGTTCTTTGTAGGCTATAGGAGTGGTGTGCTATATGAGTGGGCAGATTCCCTGCTTCTGTTTGATGAGGGAGGGTAGAAGTCTTTGAACTCCTTTCTCTTTTCCCAGCCCTGTAGTCTTCTCAACAGTGTTAGTTGTAATGGCATGCCCAGGAAAATCTCTGAGACATGTGGTGGTACTTGCGGATGAGTCTTAACCACACCCTGTATGACTGAGTCATTAAATGCTGTAAAGAGTTTGCAAATTGACCTCCCTGTTAGTAGGAGTCACTTACCAGAAGAACAAGCTACAGTGTTGTTTTGGGGTTCTATGACTGGCTCTGGTCCCTAAGGAGAAGCACTCAAATTCCCCAGGTGGTGGGAGGGACCCAGGAACTTCAGGTGAGTCCTTAGTCTCTGCCACAGCAGAGGCAGGTGGGAGAGTAAGGCTGGGCAGGCCTGGGTTGGGTGAGCTTGCCCTCAGGCTCCACAAAACCTGGCAAGGGATCTGTTTTAGCAGGGGTTGAAGGTCTGCTTGCAGCTTCTGGACAAAGCTACCAGGGAGGGACTGAAGAGGCCCCACACAACCAGAAAGTATGTTTGTGGAGGTGAGGCTATCTGAGATTCACAATCTGGCAGTCTGGAGGGGGCCTCACTCCTCTCTGCTCTCCTCTGTTCCATGGTTTCTCTCTCAGCATCTGCCAATAGGCAGGAGTTCAAGCCAACCGAGCCCCCTCATGACTGTGATGTGGGCCAGGAAGTTCTCTGCCCAGGATCCCAGCCCAAGCCGAGAGTGTAGGTCTCCTACTGTGGGAGGGGTGCAAACATGCTGTAGCTAGCACTCCCTCATTCTCCCCCTAATCTGCCCATGCTGACTCCCTTGCTCCCTTGTCTTCCAAGAATAATTCACAAGTCTCCCCTCCTTGCCATGAGGTACATGATGGAGACCTGAGGGTAGAGGATCTGGCCTGGGGTCCATCTCCACGTTGCTAAAGATTAATCCCTAACCATGCCAGGGAGAAGTGTGCTGGTCCCAAGCTGCCCATAGGGTGCCCAAGCCGATTTGATGTCTCTCCGCCTCAAGGCATGCCCTGTTCTGATGGAGTTGCTGAGCAAGCAGCACCAGGGAGGGCTGGTGGGCAGGGAGCTCATGGTCTGAGCACCCCTCATTCTGCTGCTGGACCCCAAGGGGAAGGGTCTGAGCCCCACTCCCTGTGGAAGCTTTGGTGTGATGGCTCAATTGTCTCTGTCAGTGGTCACGGAGAGGGGAGAGGAAAGGGAAAAAACCAGTCTGGATGGCGGAACGCTCTCTGGTTACAACTATCCCTCACTCCGGAGCCTGCCAGCCCAGAATGTCCTGGAAATGGAGTCACACATATCACCCGGGACCCACTGGATCCCTGTGGCTCCTGCTTTCTGGGACAGAGTTGGGAAATGTCTGTGTGAGAGCAAGCAAGATGAAACCCAAGGAGTCGAAGCCCCTTGGCGAGGACATAGGCACATGGTGTGTAGAGAAGCAATATGGTACCTGCTGTCCCAGCTGGGGTCTGTGGAGACAGGAGGTACCCAGGGGGGCTGGGAGCCTAGTGCCCTGTCTACAAGAAGCTCCCAGCTCATTGGTGGCAGCAGCCTCTGGGCTCATGTGGGCAGAAAGTCTGTCCAGCAGCTCAGGAACCTGCCAACTGTCGGAGATGCAAGGGAGGGAGAAACAAACTGCTCCACCTGCCCTTCTCACTGGACGCCAAGCCTCTCAGGGGTTGGTCTCTACTGATACCCTGCTCCTCCCTGTTCTGCTCTGCAACTTCTTCCCATGGAGTCGCCTGAAGGTTCTGATACCCTTCCCTCAGACCCACACCTGATCTCAGTTTGTTCATTTTTTCTCTTTCATCTAAAACTTCTCCTCCTTCCTGAGATACTCTGGCAGTTGGTGTCTCTGGCCAGCCACTTTGCTCCTACAAGAAATCTCAAAGTGTTTAGAATTATAAGTTTGCATCTGAGTAGACTTGGTCCACATCCAAATGTTTTTCTATGTGCTGTTTATATCTAACTAGCAGATTGCTTGCTATGTGCCAGGAATTGTGCCATGAAACTTAGACACAGCATCCCATTTCATCATCATGGCAGCCCTAAGGAGTAGGAAATTTTTTGTTCCATTTTACATGTAAGGGGACTGAAGCATCCCTTGAGGAAACCAGCATGTCCCCATTCTTAGTCCATGTAGTTTGAGCAGCACAGATCCAGCCCGAGTAGGAGGGCATTCGTTGGCCACAGTGATGGGTTTGGGACCAGGCAAGTGACCCAAACCTAGTCCATTGAAGTCCTCCCTTAGAGTTTTGCTAGAACTCTCAGGAAAAAGAATTATTTTTCTCATGGAATCATTAGCTATAAAACAAAATGGAAACAGAGTGATCTTTGCCTCATTGTGGATAGAGTTTTCCTGGGACTGAGGACAAACACAAGGGTACCTGTGGTGATTTATGGAGAAAATAAGATAAATTTCTAATGATATCATCTGAGCACCTACAGAAAAATGTACCTGAAGCCAGAATCATCCCTTGAATTTTCTGGTAACATAGACCAACAATTTCTATCTTTCATTTGGGGATAGTTGAGATGATTTTCTATTACTTAGAATCAAAACATTCCATAGAGAATTAAATCCTCCAGATCCCATAACCATTCATTCATGAATTACAAAAATGACCACATATAATCTATACCAGAGCCTATGCTCACAGTTATTAAACTCTGTTGCCTTTATTTATTATTAATTTATTGTTTACTTATCTATTCATTTATGTATTTATTACTTCACTCATTCATTTATTTATTTATTGAACACATATGACATTGGAGAGATATGGGCTAGATCATTTAGGGTCATTTAAGAGAGAGAAAGGAGTATAGAGATCTTTCTAGTTGTGATGGGAAAACATTGAGGAATTTTGAATAAGACCAAGGTAATATGATTTATTTATTCAAAAGATTAGTGATGCATGGAGAATAAACTCTAAAGGACCAAAAGAAGAAGAAATAACAGTGGAGAAACTACTGCAGTTTTCCAGGACAGAAATGCTGTCTTGAAGGAGAGAGCATGTCTTTATTATTGACAAAGGTGCTGATAAGAGGAGACATTTGCAGTGTATTTTGGAGGTGGAGACAGTGGATGACTCCATCATCCACCTGCTGATGGAGTCAATGTGGGCATAAGGGAAAGGGAGGAATGAGAATGGCTCCTCAGTCTTTGGCCTAAACAGTCGGAGAATGATTGTGCCATTTGCATAGATATTTAGGGGAACGCAGATGGCTCAGAATGGCTAATGGATGGTGGTTCAGAGTAGAATGGCTCCAGAGCAGGAATCAATCCTAGAGATTTGGTGATACATACTTTGAGATGCTTATTAGACATTCAGGTGGAGATGTCAAATAGCCATCTGTAAATCTAGAGCTCAGAGGAGAAACTGGATTACAGCTAAAAGTGTGGGAGTTTACTGAATGCATTTTAAACCACAGAAAAGCAATTTAGTCTTGTCCTGAGGAGACAGTATAAGAGAGTATAAATAGAGAAGTAGAGAGGAACAAGGTCTGCAACCTGGGATATTCCCATATAGTAATTAGGAAATGAAAGAGAAGTGTCCTAGTCTGTCTGTGCTGCTATAGCAAAATACCAGAGACTGGGTATTTTATAAAGAATGGAAATTTATTTTCTCGTAACTCTGGAGGCTGAGACGTCCAAGATAAAGTTGCGTCAGGGTATGGTGAGGGTCTGGTCTTTGCTTTCAAGATGGTGCCTTGAATGCTGCAGCTTCCGAAGGGAAGAACGCTGTGTTCTCACGTGACAGAAGGTGAGAGGAGCAAGTGGGCAAGCCAAGGTCTGTGCTAAGCCTCTTTTATGGGGCTTTTAACCTCATTTATGAGGGGGGAGCCATTCTGGCTAATTACCTCTTAAAGGGCCCAGCTTTTATTCTATCACATTGGCAACACCGGAATTTTAGAGGGGACACATTCAAACCATAGCATGGAGCAAGGAAAGAAACACAAGAAGCAGCAGACAGTGGGGTCAGAGAATAATAAGCTTGGTTGGAGGTGGGGGTAGAATTGATCAAGAAGGATCAATTATGTCAGCTGGGTTAAATGGTGGTGTTGACCAGGTAGAATTAGAAGTGAAAATTGGCCAGAGTTTGGCAAGTTGTCATTTATTCTTGAGCTTGACGAGAATGGTGTCATTAGATTGGCAAGGTCTAGGAAGCCGGGTTTCATCTTCTTCAGATGGGAAACATACACATACAGCATGGAAATGGTCTAACCAAGAGGAAAATCATTATAGGTGACCTCTGAGAAGGGTTTGGCAAACAAGGGAGAGCAGAGAAATGGGCTGAGAACTGGAGGGAAAGGAGGGTGGAAATTTTCTGAAAAGTGAAATATATTTTATGTTGATGAGAATGACTCAGTCCATAAGGGAGAGAAATAATTACAGGAACTAAGTCCTTGGGTTGATGAGAAGTAAGAAGATCTGGGACCAGCTGGAGAAAAGGGGCTCGGGCACAAGCAGAAGTTAAGCCAAAGTGCATGGGCACAGGCACAGGTGAATCTGACATTTGGTGGTAGCAGGATGAGGTATGGAATTCTTCCAAGTACCTCACATTTTTACCATCCACACCTTCTATTGTTCATGCTCACGGAGTAATCCTCCCTCCGCATCTCATCAGGATCTTCGGTGCACTTCTTCCACACCAATGTTTCACTGCTCATTCTATTTTTTCACAGCAGTGTGATGGGATTGGTGGAGGCGGGCAGTGGACAGGGAGAGAAGGTAGGGAATTGTGTTCTGTAATACAAGGAGAGTGAATTTACCAGCAAATAGAGTGCAGACAACCCAGCTGGTATTTGTGGTCATGAACTTTTAAGTACAATGAATCATCACTGTTGCATTTCTTGAGCTGTGTTCAGATGTCTGAGTGTAGACTGAAATTGATCAAGATTTGGGACCAACTAAGGCAGAATTTTTTTAGACAAATACTATGAAGTGAAACAAGAAAAGGAAGTTTAAGGAGGATGCAAGGGAGAGATTGTATGAAAGACTATGGAGTGTAAGCTGAGTGGGAACAAAGAGAAGGCACTAATGGGTATCCAACAGTGAAAAATGGAAAAACTGATGTTCCCGTATGAAATGAGTGACTATAAAAATAGGATGTGATGATTATGTTTTTGGATATAGTGCAGTTAAGGGTAATGATAAGATCTAAGGTGGTAATCTTAAAACTTTTTTGACCTTGATCTACAGTAAAATAAAATCTTATTTTGCAATCTAATACACATATAAATGCATCTCTCTGTCTACAAACACACACACACACACACACACACACACACATAATTGATTAAATTTCACAAAACAGTACTGATCCTTAATACTGAGATATACCAAGATGATATCACACATATTCTGGAATTTTCCAGTCTATTCTGTTTTATGAAAAATTATAGGTTACAACCTACTATATTAAATTCAAGTCATGTTCATGAGTTGTGGCTTGTAGTTTGTAAAGCACTGGTCTTAGGTATGAGTGTGTAGTTGGGTGGCAGAGAGGGAGAAGGAAAGAGCTGTTAGAAATGAGGAGGTCAAACAACAGAGAAACCAGGATTTGCGATGAATCATCCATGTGGGTGTTGTAAGTCACCACAACTAAGTTTGACTCATCATTGTCCTTCTATAGGCTGTAGCCACTATGCACATGTGGCTATTTAAATGGAAATTTTTAAAAGCTTTATCGAGGTATGATTCAAATAAAATAAACTGTACATATTTAAAATGTACAATTGATAGCTTTTGACACACACATGCACATATATGTATATGTATATAAATACACAAACACACACAGTATGTGCATTCATAATCATAATCAAAATCAAGATGTCCCACCTGTTCCCTAGGCAACCTGATCTGTGTTCTGTCTCTGTACACTGCTTTGCACTATCTAGAATGTTATGTAAATAGAATGATACATTATATGATCTCTATAGTCTGGCTTGTTTCAGCATAATTAATTTGAGGTTTTGTTGTGTGTATCAATAGTTTGTTTGTTTTTATTGCTGAGTTGAATTCTATCGTGTGGATACACCACAGTTTGTTTATTCATGTGCTCCTGCTGTGGACATTTAGGTTGTTCCCAGTTTTGGGCAAATAAGTTGCTATGTACATTCACATACAAGACTTTGTATGGATATGTGCTTTCATGTATCTTGTTAAATATCTAATAGTGATTGCTGGATCATAGTTTCTGTTTAACTCAAATATTTTCTACTAAAACAGGAATGGGCCTGTCCTTTACTCCAAAGAAAAATCACTAAGCTGGTCATCTGCCTAGACTATGTAAGCCAACCTTGGAATCTGTATAATTGCATCTTTGTCTATTTTCATGCATAAATGAAGGCTTAATCTCCCATTTCCAATATCACAGTTAAATATTTGCCTGAGCTATGCCATTAAAATCCATACAATTCCAACTCCAACATCTTTCTAGGAATTCTATTGAGAGCCTAATTACCTCTAATGAGGAGAAATACTACTTTTCTTTACATTTGTTGTTACTGATACCTGAATGCTTTATTTTTTAACATGCCAAAGATTTTAACTCAGTGATTTATATATACTGGGATGAGTTTGATTCAAATGTGGACACTCATTTGAGAGTATAGTAAAAAAAAAAATCTAGTTATTGGTGGATAATTAGCAAAGATACATTTTAATTACATCCATTCAAAGGAGAAGACAACACCACAGTGGTTCTCAAAGGTCAGTCTGCCGTAGAATCACCTACAATACAGATTGCTGCCCCTGCCCCAGAGTGTCCAACTCAGGGAGTATAAGGGGAGGCAGAGAATTTGTGCTCCTGATCACAGCCGGCTTCTGCAGTGCCTGTGAGGCCTTGGGCACACGATGCTGAGCCTCTCCTCTCTAAAATGGACATCATATTAATAATACCAAGGAAGATAATTTACATAAACCACTTTAAGCAGAGTGTGTTAGCAATTATTTTTTCATGATAAGCTTTAAAAACATGGCAACACATATCACCGAACTTCATGTGATATTGCAGAAATACAGAGTGTTACATAATCAAAAATGAACAGTTCTGTTCCATTTCTCAGGGAACAAATTTAAAATTGGAATCTCCTCCATTTCTTTCTGGTCCTCATTTTCTACTTCCCCTGGTCTTCTTGCCTTCTGCTGAGTGTAGTGAAGTCAGGAGAGGTCAGGAGACTTTTAGGAAGCTTTTCCCCTAAAATTCTTGGTTCTTATAATGATTGGGCTAATAATCTCTTGAAAGCAATACTTGGCCTATTTGATCCCTAATCTACCTCTCACCACGATTAAGTCCACTGGCACGAATCCCTTTCTCATCAATGCAGTTATTACATGCAGATCACTCTTACTAAAGTACGGATGTGTAAGAATGTCAAGACCTATTTTATGTCAGTAAGACCTTCTTATAGCATAATACATGAGTTTTGAATTGTCAAACCTTTGGCAAAAGGGCATGTAAACATTTTGCTAGAGAGTAATATACTTAGGACAAGAATCTTTGTGGAAATGTTGAAAAATCATTTTAATATGAAAAATAATTAAAATATATGAAAAGCTGAAGAGACTCTTTTAGGCCCAGGTACCCAAATCAATAATAATAATAATTTTGTTGTTTATTTAGGCAACATCCTATTATATTCCTTCCATGTGCAAGGTGCTTGGGACAGAGTTAAGAACAAGAGGGACAATTCTAAGAAAGAGGTGGTCTGAAGAAAGATATAAAACAAGACAAGAAATAAATAAGTTCAAATTTTGAATGAATGCTATGAAGAAAATAAATGGACAGGTAATATGCAGGGGATGGAGGGGAAGAACAACCATAAAATAGAATAACCAGGGAAGGGCCGTCTCCTTCTGTTGAGCATTTACTATGTCACACATTCAGCTAATCATACTACACATGTTATTTCTAATATTCCACCATAATCCCTCTAAGTATTATGTCTAATTTGCAGAAGATAAAACTGAGGGTTAGATATTTAAATTAACTTTTCAAAAGTCACACACCTAGAAAATGGCCATGGTGAATACATATCTAAGGTTGTCTAACTCAAAATCTTCATGATTTCTGCCTTGTGTTGTTTTTCATTATTATTATTATTATTATTATTATTTCATTATTATTCACCATCACTGGGTTAACTTTAACCCATACCACTACCACTAGCGTAATGTAATGTAAAATGCCTATTACCTTAGCTATATGCTGGTTGTTTTATCTGCATCAGTTCTAAATCTTACAGCCTGCCATAGGACCTTAGAAATGCTGGACTGAGTTCATATACCTCACACTTCTTGTCTGCAATCTTTTCACTCTACTGCACTTGCAGTTGTCCAAGGGCCAAAGGTGTAGCCGAGAAGATTTTTTAGCAAATGTTCTTGATCAATTTGGCTCGTATACATGACTTCACAGGGCAGCAAGCATTTGCCACCAGCCCACAGCTTCTGTTGCATAACTAACCTTGCCAGGTGTCCGTTAGAATGCTTGGATCAAGTAGCAATTATAATCGAAGTGTGATGTCATTACTCATACAATTTTGAGCTGCTGAAGTTTAATTCCTTAAATTTATATCACCAAATTGACATAATGAAGGATTACAGACAGAAGAAAATAGGTATAAATTATACCTTCATGTACATTTGAATCATGCTTGAGTTATAATCTAATACTCCATCACTAAGTGTAGACACTCTTAATTCAGTAAAGTTGTCATTTAAAAAAAAATCTTGGAACTTTTACACAGATAAAATTCTGATCATCTGTCCATTGGATAATAAACGTGGATGTATTAGGTCTAATCTAACATTCCCACTTTATAGACAGGGAACTGATGGGTTAAATAAAAAGAGTAGCTAACATTTATACAATGCTATTCTAATTTCTTCACACATATCAACCTTTTTGATCTTTGTTAACAGCCCTATAAAATAATTATCATTCCCATCTTAAGATGAGGAAACTGAGGCACAAGGAGATTAAGTGATATTGTGAGTGGTCAAGATTTGAGTCCTGAGTGCCCCTAAGCACTTCGTAATTCTATACTGCTGCGTACAAGCCTGCAAAAAAAGTAACAATTAATGTTGGAATGACTCAGCTTGGTTAGTTTTTTACTCTATCTTCCTTTTTTACCAACTTCCTGTTTTACACGTGTGTGCCCCTCTTTAAAGAAGGAAAGGGAAAATTAGGGACAAATTATGATATTGTTAAGCTAAAAAGGCTCTTCATAAAAAAATACCTTTGAAATTTAGAGACCTTTCTATCCTTTGCAATGACATTTTCTATACATATTTGGAGAGAAAAGATACTTCGAAATCAAAATGCTGGACCCTTAAACAAAAGAAGCAGATTCTTATGGTGAAGAAAGTATGAAGAGTAAGTTATATCTGGGAAGCCTATAAAAGCTGTGAATTTCTAAAATATTAGTTTGGAGAGAAAGAGAAAGAATTATTGATGTGTCTATGTGTAAAATTTTTTGAAATAGAAACTTTAAAAATATTTTTGAAATGACAAAAGCACAGAAAACAATAAAATGTGGTCTTTTCTAAGTGAAAGGATATTGATATGAAAAAATAATCTGTACAAATGACTGGGATCAGACAGGGCAAATGGTGAAGATGCCCGATGAGCCTATCTGCCGAGAGGAGGCAGAGATGGCCATCTGGCATCCTCAAATGAGTGGGACATTTTTATTTAGCCTGGTTGTCACCATTGACTTGCTAGCACATGCCTAACTTTGGATGAATCAACACAATTCCTGTCCAGAAGCATAATGTTTAGAGGAAATTTAGGAGTTTTTTAAAGGAGGTTATTGGGAGTTAGGTTGTCCAGACCTTTTGCAAGGTGAAAAACAAAAAAGAAAGATTCTCTGGCTATGTTTATAATTGTACAATGATGTGATAAGAAATGGGGTTCTATCCAGGAATGCTATTTTACACATATAAAATATCAATAGCCACATACATACTTTTTCCACACCAATTTAATATTCTGGACAAAGACTAGATTCCCTGTTGATTATAACAAGAGCTATATTTGTTAAGTATTTCCCAGGTAGTATGTCAAAAATCTTAGGCATCTAATCTTCCCACATTCCATGTGACCTAAGCATAGTTATCTCCTTTAAATAGGTAAGAAAACTAAGTTTAAATTTATTTTGTTTATCTTTTTTCTCTTTATGTTACAGAAGTTCTTTATACTCTACATATTTATTGCTTATGAGGATCATGTGTCATTGAGACTAATCAAGCATACAGGTAAAACTCAAAGGAATTCAGGAAGAACCAACATAATCTATTGGAAATCAAATATAATTTCTAGATAGAAAAACCATCATGCATGGTGAGTAAAAGGAAAGATAAATTTATGGATATTATACATAAGGGAAAATAAAATTTTCAAAATGGTATTCTTTGGGATATTTTAGAGTACATTTGCTTACCTCTCAATAAAGTAAAATAACATATTGGCTCTCTGAAACAAGAGCTAAGAATGAGAAGACAAGATAACAAACTGAGATTTAAATGGGAGAGTTTGTAGGACAAAACAGAAACAAATGAGAAGCTTGATGAGATAATAAAAAGATGATAAAACATTAAAATGTATTAGAAGCAGGAAAAACAAAATTTATCCTCAAGAAGATAGAGTTAGAAAATGAAGAGTATACTAGAGAAGTTGTTCCAGGATGGCAAGAAAAAGAAATATAATTAAATCATGACAAAGAAGCTGATAGAAATGGTAAGCAGAGAATGAAGACTGAATATGCAAATCTCTGGTGTTCTTGAGGTCTTCTCCAGAACGAATGTAACCAATACAAGAATCTATTTGAAATACAGGAGAACTTTCTTGAGCTGAACAAAGCACATTGATTCAGATTAAAATGAGTAAACAGGTATCAGACAAAATGTATAAAAAGAGAGTACCTGGAAAAATCAGGTAAAAAGGAAAGGCTATCTAAACATGATAAAAATCAGGCTCACACTGCCTACAACTTTAAATGCCCATAGACAATGGAGCAATATCTACAAAATTTCAAGGAAAACTATTTTAAATAAAGTGTTATATATCTAATAAAGCTCTTTTTCTCACAGATAAGCTATGTAAAGATTTTATATATATTTTTTAGAAACCAAGAAACTATTTTATATTTATATTGTCAACCTTAATTAGATTTGGAAAAGTATGATTATGTATAGAGTTTATTTGAGCATAAAGCTCGAGGACAGCCATCCAGATAACACAGGCTCCAAAAGAATGGCTCAGCATTCCAAAGCGGGCAAGTTACGGCTCCACTCACATAGCCAGCGCGCAGTCGCAACACTTTCCATACAAGGTCAGCTATACGTTACAGTGATTTGATTGGTCACGGCTTGTTATATTCCAGGAAAGATTGCTTTAACATTCTGTGATGATCTGAGGGGTCTTATCTCTGGCACCACAAGGCCTTTCCTAATAATTTACAGGAAAAGCAACAGTTGCAGCTGCATGCTATGTCATTCATGCCATGTAGCCACATTCCTCTCAAGGCTCAAAACAATGTAAATTTCCAACAGCTATAACTCTGAATTATTTAATTTCACAATATTTATGGAAAAAACGATTTGAAGTACAAGTGGAAAATACACAGGAATGCTTTTTAAGTGGCTGATAGTAAGCATTGAAATTTTTAAAAAGACTAAAATTTTTATATACAGTTAGAGAATTAAATTTAAATGGAGAAATGAGATATAAAAATATAATAATTTGAAAATAGAAATTAGGATTTGAAATATAGTATTATGTCAATGAATTTTGGAAGTAACCTTGACAACAGTATTGAGAAGCTTCCCATATATTTAATTTAAAATTTTAAGAAATCGGGGAAGGATGGAACCCCCATAAACAGCATCACCTTAAATACATAAAAATAAATACAGCAAAGACAAAAGTAAATGATGAAGAGAATGGACCACTTTCAATAAATTTTGAGAAATACCATTGAGATCTAAAGCATGAACCTCAAACATTTCCTCAGGAGATGCAAAAAACAGAGTAGAATTCTATATCCAGCAAACTTGTTATTCTCAAATATAGATGACAGATGACTGTCAAAAATATTAAAAGAACTCAGGAACAATGTTACCCATGAATTTCTGAAAAACTAATTGATGACACAATTTAACCAACTAAAAAATCAAAAGTAAAGACATCATGAATAGAATGTTAACACTCTATCTAAAAACCATAAATATAAACAGTGTAATAAATAAATTTCATAATTCTCATTGAAAGAAATGTGACAGGTTAAAAAATAGTAATTTAATTTGAAGTAACTAGAAAAAGAAACCCTAAAATGTGACATAAAATGAAAGTATAACTGAATTCATGTTTCATTGAGCAGAATTACCAATTATAGTTTCATTTTTATCATTTTTAAATGAACAAATGTAATTTTAAGAATACTTATCAGTTATAAAAGACATCATAGAACTACAACAGACAGAATGTCTTCCAAATAAACACGTGCATATGCAGAATTTCCAGATCATATAACAACATATAGAAAACAAAGAAAATAGAAGGGAAGCATAAGAAACAGAAAACATAGATTAAAATTATTGAAATTAAGCAGACTATACCTGTTACATTTTAGGATAAAAGAGGCATACTAATCTATTAAAACCAAAGGATTTTAATATTTGTTCAAAAGATAAATTGAAGAATATAATGTATATATTTATATCTTATGAGTAGATATATCTTTATAAAAATTGAGCAAATTAAACCATTAAAAATCGTAGTTTTTTATAAAAAGCATAAATTTACTTAATCACAAATTCTGACCACAATGCAACAAAAAAAGAGAAAACTATAACAAAAAAATGATTGGCAAAATCATGGTATGAAGAAACTAAAATATTACTTTCCAAATGAGTACTTGGACAATGATATAGTCAAACTGCACAATTGACTATTGATTGCTCCAGATGCTACACAGTAAACCTGAGAATTAGGGTTTAAGCTGGGTCACAGCAATGAAGAACGTGAGTTCTGCAGCCGAAATACCTGGATTTGAATATGACTGCACCATGTAACCAGCTGCCTGAACTTGGACAAGTTACTCGTCTCTCCTAGCTTCAG